GAGTCTGCTCGTGTCATCATGGTCTCGTGAGATAAATGCAGACCCTGCGGTTTTAGACCGATCCACGTACGTCTGTGACACCCCAATCTTAGCCTCGTGCCCGTGTGTGTGTGCACATTTTGGAGCGAATAAGCACACAACAGGGCTTTGGCTAACCCGATACCTTTAGCTTTCCAAATACACAGCCAACAGTAGTGTGAGAAGACTCCCTCTCTCTCCCTCTCTGTGTCTCTCTAATTTGACGAGGCTCTCCCTCCATTTTTTCCCATTTTGATGTGCAGCCGCATCGGCGGGCCGCCGGCTAAACGAAACATCTACCGATTGCCAACGCCGCTCTGCGTGTGGAGAGCTTTTCTTAGCCGGCGTGGGCCCCGTTCCCACCACACACAGTACAAAAGCCTCAGATCTGACCGGCTCCCTCGGTGTCGGGATTTCATTTAATCAAACTCAGTGGTTACTTCACCTCTGAGGGTCATCGTAAGATATGCACACACACACACACACACAAACAAAAACACTAACGCACAACGACAGTCCACTCCAGGCTTGTGATGTCATGGGAGCTGCAGAACAGAGCTACAGGAAGTAATTAAGAACAGATTATTTTCACAGGGGAAACAGAAAGAAACACTGGGGCCGCGGAGCAGTGGGAACCTGTGGAATCCATCAGTGTGTCCCTCCCAACGCACAAAGCCGGTCATCACGTAAGCCGTGACTGTCTGGATGCCCCCCCCAACTCCCTCCCACCGCGTTTAAAAAAAAAAGATTATTATCAGTGAATCCTTCCTGTGGTCAGCGAGTGGGCTTTTTTTTGGTGTGGTGAGGAGGGCGATGGGGGCCGGCTGGCCCAAAGCACCGGGTCTTTCTCTGGGCTTTCTCACAGAGCCGTCCAAGGCATGAGTATTGCTGCAGCGAGAGGGAGGCGGGATCTGGCACCGTAAAGCGCGCACTGTGGAGCGGTCGTGGCAGAAATGGCACGGCGAGCACATTTCACACCTCCCTCGGACTGACTGCAAATTTCCTGTACTGCACTTTTGACTGGAAACACATTTGAAACATCTTTTCATGATCACACTTACCGCTTACAAAAGAAAGAAAAGTGAGGGAAAAAAAGGAAAACGGGAAAGGAGCGAGAAATGAGGTCCAGAATATGACTAAGTGCACTGAACTTTTTTTAATTTTCTGTTTTTCCAACCTTGAGTTATTCAGAAATGTGCTGAGTTGAAGCTGAACCTTCCCAAAGGTTGAAAAACTCCATGTAAAAGCCGGCTGAACACTGTGAGAAGCAGGTGGATGACCATGAGGAGTGAGGACCGCATAGGAACCAGTGCTGCGAACCAGTACGGCTCTTCCACGGCACTATCTCCATTATTTATGATACTGGTCAATCCTTCTTATCGTCGAACCGAACCACAACCGCTCCTCCTCTCGCTCCTCCTCGCTGCCGCCATTCCAGATGCAGAGTTCAAAGAAACGTTTCTCTGTCTGGTTGGTTGCCCTTTTATCAGAAGTGGCTGCAAAACGGCGGGTGGGGTGTGTGTGTGTGGTTCTGTGGTGCGGCGGCGTAATGTGCTACGTTACGGCTGCGGCATGTTATGTGCCGGTAGGAGAGAGGATCTCAAAAGGCTGGCTGGCTGCAGAACAGCCGGAGAAAGCCTGACGGCAAGCCCAGAGATTCCCCGTGGCAGCTTTTTGCCACTCTGTCACAAACAAAACACAAGACGTCTTTCTCTTCTTCCCACACCAACGGGGCTCGGGCGCTGCCAAACAGAACAATCACTATCGCAGCCTCTTCTGCTTTCCAGCGCGCTCTCTCTCCCTCTCTCTCTCCCTCGCCCTGTGTCTCCTACAATATAAACAAAAGAGATCAGCGGAGGCTTTACCTCTGTGAGAGCGACAATGAGAGCCATGTTTAAGGAGACAAAACAAAAGTGTGCACGGGATCAAAGAGGAGCGGCCAAGACAAGAGATGCTAAAGACCGACACAACGCCGAACCAAACATAAACAAACAATGAGCACATCTTGTCGTTCACGGAGCGCACACAAAAACAGAATGTGACCGCACGTAACGGATGAATTAAAAAAGGGAGAGCCAAGTGTGGTGACGTTATGACAGGTTTACAGACAGTGGTTTGCCTCCCCCCTCCTCCCCCCTCCCACCAGCCCCCACCAGCGGCCCCCCCACCCACCGGTCTGAAGTGTGCCTCCAAACAGGACTTAAACTGAGCAAAGCTCTTTGGAGGCAGATAAACGTGCAGAGGCACTCTGTGTCAGCCAGATAAGATAAGAGCGCGCACACATTACGTCCGTATTATGAATGGGCAGCGCACTGGGCCGCCCCTCCCAGCAGCCATGTGGTTTACTGTACTGGTGCAAAGCAAAGTACAGCAGCGCCGGGTGCACAGCGGCAAGATGAAGCCCGGAAGGCCGACCGTGTCAGAAGAGGCAATTACATTACATTACATTACAGGTCATTTAGCTGACGCTTTTATCCAAAGCGACTTACATTACACTTTAAACCCATGGCTTTTACACAGGGAGCAATTAGGGGTTAGGTATCTTGCTCAGGGACACTTCGACTTGAGACATGGGGCAAGTCTCATGAGACATTCACAAGTCGTGTGTGTGTGTTAAAAAAAATATATTTCCCCCTCAATCGTATGAGCCACTATAGTTATGATTGTGTTATTCATAGTGCTGTATATATGTAGTATAATAACACAATAAATATATGTTGAGCTTTGTTTCTTCATCCAGAATAATATGATTATAATTTGGCCCTCTCAGTAAGTTTACAAAATAATTTGTTTTAATTATATATGAAAAATATATAAAACCACCGTCATAATAATTTCTCTTCCATAAATAAAGAGGCAATTGAAAGTCTTTCTAGGATTAGCTGCAGGCCAGTTATCTAGTACATGTTTCCAGAGGTAAGATTAAACAGGCACAAAAATCTATTGTAGTAAAGAGAGTATTATTTCCAAGACAAGCAGCGTTTAACAGTGGTGCACGGCTCATAAGACACTGATTAAAAACAGACTATGCACATTTGTTACTAAATTGCAAAACACCACAGACCCAAAAATCCATAATTTGGTTGTTTTTGTATTCCTGCCGCAGTTCCAATTTAATAACTAAAAAAATCAAACAAGATTATTTTTGAAGATTTTCTTCGGTAAAAAAAAAAAAAGCCCCTAAAACATGGGGACAGATTTCATCAGTCAACAAGAGGACTGGCCGCCACCTACGGTTTATCGCCGACACAGACGGGCCGACGAGCCGGAGCTGCAGCCGGGCTTTGGCTCGGCCCGCGTGAGCTGTTTGGCCTGCACTGAGACTTTGGTGCGAGGCGAGAGAGAAGGGGGGAGGGGGGGCAGATAGCATTTGGCTACACTCGTATTAGTGGCTACCAGTTGTGAGGGTGTGTGTATTTGGCCAGTCACTGGGATATGCTTTATACGTGTGTATATTTATATATATATATATATATGTGTGTGTGTGTGGCTGGTTGAGTCACTGTTTGAAATTTCCAGAAAATTGCAGCTGAGATAATATTAGGTCATGAGCGTGTGTTTGTATGTATACGTAGCCAGCAAATGGTGAGGTAGTGTGTATTTGGAGGATTTGGCTGTGAAATGTGTTCCATGCGTGTGTGTGTGTATGGGGGTTGTCACAGTGTGTTGTGCGATGTGGGGGGGTAATAACAGCCAGTGTTTTGGCTGTGTGTAGCGTACGCACACTGGAGGCTACAGCGATGTTTGGCCCAGTGCGAGGGTGTGTGTCCGCGATGGTGGCTGAGATACAACAATGTTTGGCCGTATCACACTGTATCTATGGTGGACCTTGGCCTGGTGCGCGCGACGCATGGGTGTGTGTGTGCGCTATCGTGACTAAAACCGCGTTTGGCATCAGGCGTGAAAGTGAACTTGTTTTTTCATCTTGTTTTTTTATTCTTTTTTTTTTTATCCGATGCGCGTGTCTTTATTTAGCTGTGTTTGTATACGCGTTAAGGGTGTGAAGGTGGCTGCAATATTCCTGGCTGTCTGTGGCAGTGGCGTTTTGTGTTGTGTGTGTGTGTGTTTGGCAGGCAGGTCCAGCGTGGTGCTGGCGTTCAGGCAGACGGGGAAAGCGGCAGCAGCCTGCGGCCTGAAAGCAGGAGACTTGCTGCTCTTCTCACACACACACATACACACGCGCACACACAAAGAAACACACTTGCACACGACCTGGGCCGTGGCCAAATGACAGTCGCCGGCTACAATGGCCTTATCGTTGCACATACACTTCAATAGACTCAGTAGTATCTTACGAACGCACAAAAACACACAATTTGATAGTGGTGATCATTAAAAAACACTTTCTTTCTCTCACACACACACACACAAGCATGCAAATTCCTTCCTACAAAACAACACCAAATACATGCTCATATGAACCGCGAATGCCTCGCTCAGAAAAATGAACCGGTACTTGCCAGAGCACGCTGGCTGAACGCCCTTGACACACACTCGCATATTCTTTTTATTATTGCTGATACTACGTGTTGTAAACAAACACCAGGAAACACGGAAAAATACGTGGAAGACAAAACGCTAAAGGTCCTTCCCATTTCCAAAGAGAGCAAAGGCAAAAAATGGTATATTTATTCTGTTTACCAAAAGTAAATGTTTGCTTTGTTCGTTTAAAAAAAAGTATTTTTAAATAAAAACTCAATTCATTAATATTAGGTGAATTAATTATAACAATTTTTTTCCTAAATTTGAAAAATTGTTTTTGTGTGTTTTTGAAACTTAACACTTGTCTCTTTACACTGATTCTTATCTGTACGAATTCTCTATTCAAAAACGTGTCACAGTGTTTCTGCGTTCACTTAATTTCTCTGTGTAATTATGCAAATGTGTTTGTGTGTGTATGTGCACATGCACGCGGGCACGTATGGCGGGTTATGTGTTGGCATCCCTGCTCGCCCGCGTCTCGCATCCAGCTGGCCACGTACCTGGCGTGTGGACGAAGTAGGCCAGGTAGAGGTCCAGCTCCTTGACGGACACTCCGATGTGGTGCGGCTGCACGCACAGGCCAGGGTTGGTGCACTGTGGCGACTTGACCAGCCGCTCGCCGTCCGTGCTCTCCAGGGGGCTGCCCTTGAACAGGATGACCATCACCAGGTCCAGGCGCCACACCTTGTCGGCCTGGCGCAGGCAGTCGATGCGGCGGATCTTGCCCTTCTGGTCGGGATTGGACAGCACACAGCAGGGGGCCTTTTTCCCCGTGATGGTGAGCACAAAGTCCTCGCGGAACTCAGGCCGGATGTCCTTGCGCAGCTTGGCCAGCAGGCGCGAGGCCCACTTCTGCTTGATCTCCGGCTTCTCCCCCAGCAGCTCGTCCTTCACCGCGCGCTCTTCCTCCTTGGACATGCGCTTCTCGTGCTTCTTGAAGTACTTGCGCTTGCGGGCCTGCAGGTTGAACCAGGTGTAGGCGAAGGCGCGGACGTGGGGCAGCAGGGCCTCGATGAAGGGGTGGAATTCATCCTGGATGAGGGACGAGCAAGGGGGGAGGGTGGAGGAGGACAGGGAGGAGGGTGGGAAGCAGGAGGAGGCGGTGGAGAGAGAGGGGGAGAACGGGGGAGAGAAGGACGGGGAGAGAGGGATTGGGGGTGAGGAAGGGAAGAGAGAAGAGAGGCAGTTAGCACCGGCACGCAGCATGGAGGAGCGGCGCCTGCTCTGTGAGAGCGGAGGGAGAGAATGAGCGAGTGGTGCTGAGGGAGAGAGAGAGAGAGAGAGAGAGAGAGATGCTTGACACTCTACCTAACACAGAAGCATCACACTGAAGGACACACTGACAGAAAGAGAGATAAAAGAGGAGGTACCGATATTCACTTTTGAAATATATTTGTTTAAACGGATTTATAATTTACGTACCTCCCTAAATAAATGTGTATTAAAATAAATGTTTAAGTAATGAATACAAAAATTGCCAAACTACCACAAAAGTAATTATAGAGATCATGAATTCCGAAGAGTTATGACTCCATCCCTCAAAAGGTAAAATGACTATTTTAAATATAAACATTATGCATACTGAAAAAAGCTATAATTTATTATATAATTAAAAGTAATATATTAAGAATTTTAGGGAACTCACACACCAAATTCTACATGAACATAAAATATTTGTCCATATAAAAAGACTGCATCTGCACTCAATATTCTTTCATAAAAGTCACCGTCACAAAACAAAACATTGTGTGAATAAAACAAGAATAACATGGTAGTTACCATTTTGCTCTTGCATCATAAATTCACCCGCCGATTGCAAAGAAACTTAAAATGGGAGGAAATCAACTGGATTGTTGGATCAAAATGTGCTGACGTATATAGTGAAAAACAAAAAGGAGAAAAAAAATAAGCAAAAAGAGAAGTTGAGAAACTGTCCAATAAAAGCAGTGGGGGGGGGGGGGGGGGCTGAGAAAGAGTAGGGAGGCCAAGGGGGTGCAGTGTAATAACCGCCCAGGAACACAGGAGGTACTGTAGCAGGAGCTGCAGGAGAGGTGCTGATCAACAGCACAACAGAAGGAGAGTGTAAATAAGTTCTGCAATCGTTCTGTCTAAAAGGATCTACAAAAATTAAACTGAATCGAAAACGAGAGCCGGTCTCGCACGGACAAAACCAAAGGGATGTTGCAGCAAAAAGTCAAATTGTCAAAAACGAGCCTCTTTGTTTGCAAAAAATATGCAGCAAAAACGATCTTGACGAAGAAGAAACAACAGAAAAAAGCTTGGCAAAGCGACGCGTGCGATTGGTTCAATTCTGTGGGATCTGCCTCAGACTCACGGAGAGGGAGAGAGAGAGCTGGACAAGGGGGGCACGGACGCAGGAGGAGGAGGAGGAGGAGGAGGAGAAGGAGAAGAAGGAGAAGAAAAACAAAAAAACAAAACAAGAGGACCGAATCAATGTTGGAAGAGTGTGCACGACCGCTGGCAAACGCGAGTGCAGCCTCTTTTTTCCCCCTCTTTCTCTCCAACTCGGTCTCTCTCTTCCTCTCCACTTTCCTTCTCTAACCATTGACTGAGTCTGTGCCAACATGCAGAGGGCCCACCTATTTGGCATCGAAGCTCAAACAGCCCAGCCAATACGCACGCTCCCAGCGCTGAAAGGGAGGGAAGAGAGGGATGGCAGAGGGAGAAGCAAAGCGTGGTGAGGGAGGGAGGGAGGGATGGGGGGGTTGGTGGCTGGTAGTCGCGAGGGAGAGCTCGAGGGAGGGAGGGGAGAGAGACGGGCACTGTGTGCGGTGCGGGCAGAAGGCACGTCATTAGCCAAACAGACAAGTTCCAATCTAGTGCAAAGGCAAAGTCCAGAGGATATTAATTTTACATGCATCTAATCCAGACAGCGGCTTCCTTCTAATGCCCCCCCCACACACACACCCACCCTTACAACACTCCCCTTCATCGCCTTCGTCACCAGCGTGGTCACAGCCACCCCAACAAACTGGCTCGCTCTCCAACTGCACCCCTATTCAGCCCGACCCCCTGCCACCCCCCCCCCCCCTCCAGAAACACCCGTCTCTCTCTCTGCTCGCGTTACACCACCTTGGCATGGGATGGGATGAGGAAACACAGGCCCAAAAACCCACTAAACCCTGAAACCAGCAGCTGCTCCTGGATTTTCCACACAACACAAAGAGAGGAGGGGGAAGAAAATGCCCCCCCCCCCCCCCCCCCCCCACACGCACCACAAAAATACCGTCCAAAAACATGCTCTCCTGTTTCAAAATGCCCTCTCACATCCAAACTGGCCCCGTCTCTCCCTCCCTCGCTCTCTCTCTTTTTTTTGTTACTCCACTTTGAAAGCCCAAACAGCACCAGACACAGAAACACATTAAAAGTTTCTGTTACCAAATTGGAGGGCAATCCCATTCATGGCTGATTCAGTGGACAATGACGGCTGAAAATGCTGCGGTGGACAGCTTTGTGTAAAAAGCCTGTACATGTTAAGCTGGTTAACAAGGCGCGGCGAGCGGATAAAAAACAGGCTGCACCGCTTCCCTATAATTCACAAAGCTTTGCTTAAAGCTCTCAAATTCAGACACAAGAATTGTGTTTCGTCCTGCAGGCGGTAAATTGCCCATATTTTCATCAGGTTGCCTTATAAAGTACACAATGGCACATGATTGGGCTTGAGCGGCGGAAAGTGAGGGAGCAAAGGGCTGTATAGCTGCCCTGGCAAGCGTGCTGTCTCATTGGCTGACCCACACGACCTCAGAGGGACAAGCTGTGCCCATTGCACCATGGGAGAAATAACTGAGGGACAAAGGCTGTCGCCCGGGATCAATTCAATATAATCTGATGCACGTAGGAAATACGAATGAAGCCCTCTTCGCGTTGGAAGTGTATTTAAATGTCAATGACATAATAAAAAAGGAAAGAGGCGGCTCATCTGCGCTGCCCGTTTCTAGACGGCTCACAGGAATTAAAGGGAGATTGTCAAAACAGGAATCTCGGCAAAGGGCAGCCACAAAAGGCTAACTTGTCATGTGGCAAAGTTGGGGGCCCGGACATTTGATTGCGAGTGGAGGCCCCCCCCCTGCTGTGCAACGGGACAGGCCGTCTGTGTGAACATCCTACAAAGGCCAGAGTCCTCTGGTTGGCGCCCAGGACCATCAGATTTAGCCTGGCCCGCTCCCTCTGTCAGTGGCCGACCGAGGAGCCGCAGCCTGGATGACTGGCTGCTCCACTGACTGGCTGGCACGCCCGGCGTTGGGTTGGCTAAGAGGCTACGTGACTGGCTGGGTGAATGACTGGTTGGCTAACCGGGTGGGTAGCTAGCCGGTTAGCTGGCTGCCTGACTGGGGAAGAGGAGGGTGAGGGGTTTGGAGGGAGGGGGGGGACTGCGCAGCCCCATCTGGACCAGGCCGAGCCGGGCCGAGTGCCGATTGTTCATGCTAACATACGCCTGCCGCCCACAGCCGCGCCGAACACGGGGAAAATGTGGGAATGCGAGAAGATGGCGGAGGCGAGAAGAAAAAAGAAAAAAGAAGAAAAGAAAAGATGGGCAACAGGAACATGAGGAGATGGAATTAAAGAGGCTGCACGTATTTGTCTTAGGAGAACAATGGCGGAGGTGAGCTTGTCGCTTGTTTGAAGAAGAGTGAAGGGATCCAGACTTTTTGGGACAAATGGGCCGCATATAAAGAAAAGGAGTGATACGCGCCAAGTATTACAGTCACTTCCTGTAATATCATCATGTCACTACTGACAGGCCAAATGATAATAACCACAATCACTATAAGGGAAATCCAAACCTCTCCTTTGTCTATTCAAACTAGCAACACATTCTCTTTTGTAGTTCCTGCCCTGCAACATAGTTTCTGTAACATAAATCTTCTGGACTGTTTGTATAACACAGGACGGCAAACCGACCGCAACCATGCGACTATAAAATAATACATATTGTCACTGTTTTTATAAAATCTGTAATCCTTAAAAAATAAAAATCCCTTTTTAAAGTCAGTTAAATCCACTGCCAGGCCTATATCGGGGTCATAAACCGGACCAAACGCAACGTCATGAGCAACAGCATAACACAGGCGCTGAGGTCTGCGCACAATTTGCAGTTAACGGCGAGATCTTTTATGATTTTGGCCAAGAAATGAGTCTGTTTGGCACCCTACTATTTAATGCATTCGTGTTTTTTGGACATTTTCAAACTCCCATTTCCTTCAGCTCATTAGAGAGCGTTTCTCTTGTTTGGCCAAAGTTCTCCGGGGCAGAACAAAGGGTGGCAGTTTGTTCGGGACTTGGCCACACGGACTTTTTAGGTATCTGCTGGGCAATCATTGAGAGCGAGGGCTCATCTTATCTCTTTCAGAAAGACAAAGACAAAAAGACAACGACCTTTATTCGCCTCGCTGGGGAAGACAGTCCCTCCCTCCCTCTCTCTCTCTCCTGACTAAAACTCAGAGAGCCGGACAGGAACCCCAAACCACCTCAGGTTACATCAGGCCGAGCATCGAGAAAAAAAGAAAGAAATTAAAAACTGCAAGAGTTGTACTCATTTTACTGACTATTTTATCACGTGTGCCCTGCTGACCGAAAATAAAATATATCATTCAGCTCAAATTCCTGCTGGATTTATGAAATGAGGCTTCAAAACGTAATAATAATAAAAATATTAAAAAAGGAAAATGTCACGCAGGTTTGAAGCACAAGGAATGTCCCATCGTCCTATAGTTTTGTTAATTTAACAACTATTCACAGCATAAATGTTCTGGCTGCCGCTGAATGAGTTAAGTTACTTAAGTTTAAGGGAGCGGCCCTTTCTGTACCTTTATGAATAAACAACCCCCCCGCTATATCGAAAAAAACCCCCCCTCGTTCGGGGTGTTCCCGAGAAAATAACAACACCCCCCCCCCCCCCCCCCCTCCTCCTCCCCGGTATGACGTCAGTCTCCGGCCCGCAGCGGCCGCGTGTCTCTCGGTTCACCTCCGGCGGGAGGCCTCGTTGTGCGTCCGTCGGGTCTCATTTAAAA